GGAATTGGGTGCATGACCTCCAGAGCAAGCAAAAGGGAAACCTTACCGCACAACCAACGGCACCACCTATAAGTATATTTGCGTTTTTCAATCTAACCCGAATGCATTGAAATACCTGTTTCTACGATGGAGAAAATACATTTCTTGACTATTGAGCACATTCAATATTTTCCATGCACACTAATAAATACCCTGTTCACACCTGTCATAGTTCTTCTCCCACTGATTAGTCTCAAATGAAACAACCATTTAGAGAAGGTACCCATTCACCTAAATACATGTCGTGCCATTTTGTACCTTCGATGGCAAATACTGGTGGAATGTTGGGTCAATAATTTAAATCATATCTTTCAAATCATCTTCTGTTTGTGTCCTGTAAATTGGATACCAGCATTCCACAGCAACTCGGTCCACCCAGAACTACAACATATGGCGGCAATTGCAGTCCGACCGAGTAGCAGATGACAGCGTAACAGGGATGGGAGTGAACGGAGTGCGGGTTAGTCTGTCGCGAATTTATGTGGACGGTCACACGCACACACGAAGAGAGTTGAACGAAAAAGTTTTGGGATTAGCAGGTTAAGTAGGCTTATGAAACCGGAATTAGTTCGGAGAAATAACAATTTACGTCTTGAAATTTTTCCCTGAAGGCAAAATCATTGCTCTACAATTGTTCGGCCCATATTAAGTGTTTTGAGGGTTTGTCTGTGTGAATGTGTGCATCTATATAATGACCGTCGCGTCAAAGCATTGACGCATAAATATGTGAATGAAACGCTTAAAATGATGCTAGGAAAAACATGAATCAGAATGACAGGTTTCCATAAAAAATGTCAACCTGAGCAACGAAACCGATGGTGTGCTATTGTTCTGTTTTCAGCAAGATGTTCAGTTCATTTCCAGTCGATACAGTTATAAAATGACACCTGTAAGGTGCCGGTCATTATTTCATTGAGTTGAATTCTCACCCACTGTCAGGATTAATACCTGCTACATTTTAATGTTTTACAGAAAAACAAGGTAAAAACGACAAACATAAAAAGTAAACATAAACGTTCATCACTGGTCTCGGGATATTTGATGCAAAAACAATATTTTCAAAGCATTGGCTTTTTATTTGTGAATTAGAGACCCAGCAACTGAAATTCCTGTATTTGGCAGTCCATTTCGTACTTCGGTCCTTTGGTTTTTATACGGAAATAACGCAGGATTATTCATCATGTGAAAAGGATTTACTACCATAAAACTGTCCAAGTCAATTTAATACTATCTAAGTCAGCTATTGAAGACTGGGTAATCAGAGTAGGCTAACTGATTGCTCACTAAGGGTGCGTTTTACACATGGATACTCAGAGGGACCTCTGTGAAGTAGGTTATATCTTTGCGGGGCTTTTAAATGGTGTGTAGATTAGGGCAATAAACAGAACTTTGGATTGAGTTTTATAGTTACTAGAGCACTGAAAATATTTTATTTTTCGGCTCCACCAAATAACATAATAGCGAACACAGAGAGCATTATCAATTACAAAAAGAAAGATCAGTTTGTGTCAACTCTGCTTACTCTGCAACCTCACACAAACCATTACATTTTAGACGGACACAATTCATAGTACCAGTTAAATTGTACGCTTATACGGTAAATCGTTTTGATTCTTCATAAAACCGTTATTTTTTGAGTGATGAGTACCAGCAACCTGTTCTTATTAATGCGTCTAAATAAAATCACAGAAATTGTTCTCAGAAGTGTATCAGTGCTTTCTGCAAGAGCTAGAACATTAATGATGCCAAGATGTCAATAGCCGAATCGCACATACCAAATTAAAAATTAGATCTCTTTTTACTTCCTTTTTTGTAATAATTGAGTATACAAATGTACAGTCAACTTTCAGGAAGGGAGCTGCGGTCATGCAAAGGCTGCCTGGAGAAAAACAGACACTGGGAAGACGGGCGGCGGTGGAGCGGTTCGAATCCATTACAACCAATATATTTGATGGATTCCTATATGGCAATTAACATCAGTGTTGTAACACACGTCGATCATGATAATCGCAACACTGTGAGAGAAATCCGATAGGTTGCTGAAAAGTATGGCTGATGCATGATACGCGTATCGGGAATTGAATCAGGTTCCTATGAAACAGTCTCGTCGTAGTCAGTTTCATCTGTGAGAAGTGGTTCACAGTTGTGAGTGCAACTGGAGCACATTACCGACAGTCCATTATCACAAGTAGTTTTAGTTCTTCACTGACAATATGAACAGTACGTTCACGTTCATCATGAAACTTCTTCGAGGCATGGCTTTGGTCGGTGATGCAGATTTTGAAACAATCAATTTTGTGCTTAACTAATTAGTATTACTTGTTGGCGGATGTCAATTTGTACTCGCATTACAATTTACATCGCGCCAAATGAAATTCGATTGATCACGTGCTTAGTTCCCGACGAGCCATTCGCAAAGCACAGTTAGATGACCGAGATGACTGAGTGCGTTGTCTCAAAGCGAGCGTTCTTTGAATTTTACGCGGCATCAAAACTCGAAAAGATTTTCGTGATGAATAAGTTTTAGTGTCAATTTATTGACTGATCCCCTATTCTCGTCCCACATGAAGAATATGGTCACGTTAGCTGGTGGTTTTTTATAACAACGGTAAATATTCCAGTTCCGTTTACAAATAAATTGAACTAAAGGCAGAATTTCAGTATTGAATTTGTTCTCGCATCAAAGTTTCCAAGCATTTTCTTTAAGTACCGAAGAAAAAGAAACGATACTCTTTAGGTTTTTCTGGAATGCAGTGGTTATACAAGTTTGAATTAGCCACATATTCCGTAAGTTATCCGGTGAACTGAAGGATAGTCTACGCCCATTCGGTTTAAACAACACCAGGGTGTAGTAACTCAGTGAAACTGGCAACCGGTCGCTGCTATCCAGGTCGCACTCAACAATACATCATCATCCGGTAATTAGACGTAAAGAAATGTTTATCCCCAATTTCTACACGAACCATAAGCAAGTTTCGCCTGCCTTTTGCCGGTGAAAGAGTACAAAAAACCAACCAGTTTGTTTACAATTATTGCCTCGAAGAGCTGAAAAGAATGCACTTTTGTGTATTGCATTTCCTGATAAATAACAATGTTTATTTTCAACAATAGATGATCCTTGGTGTTAGGACTGTTTTGGGCAATATAAAAAGCGATTTTTGTGGAAATCTTGTAATAAATTACAGCCGGAACACCTAGAGAGTTAACCATCTCAAAGAAAACAACTTATATTCTTGACTGCACTCACTAAACAAACATAATATTAAAACTGGATAAGAATCCTAAATATTTTAATAAATTTTCCGTTTATCCCAACGCAGGATTTTTACTGTTACAAGAGGGGATAGTACTTGTGTAGTTCAATACATGTTCTGGTGCATTATTTGCTCAAAAATGGCTGAACATCAAAGCGGCTCACGCGTTTATTCGACACAATATGAATCAATCCATTTCCCATGGTAATCATTGTTAATCATTGCAGCCTTGAAAGAATCGCTTAAAATACTATACTGACATCTTTCTAAATTCGTTACTTTGAGGACATTTGACGTGACGTGTTTGACGTGACTAATAACTGAAATCATTTTTGAAGCTCAGTCGTGCAACGTGAATTCTGCTATTGCGGTAGCTTCAAAATGTAACTCGTTTTTTACTTGAAAGCCTAAAAGTAATAAGCACCTAGTTTCCTCACTACCAAGAAAACATTACAACTCTCAGTCCAAATCAGTTTGATTAGAATAGCTTTTGATTTAAAGGGGCTTTACTGAAACCTTGTGGTGCCAAGTCATGATCATCACACCGGAAACATCTTATGTGATGGAAAGCTTCCTACCAATAAAAGCAAGTTTTCTGCATGTCGTTCTCAACACAAAAGTTAACTGAAAGGTGAATGGAATGTTGCCTCTGTTAATGAAGTTGGTCAAACTAATCGGGTTCTTCAGATAAACGGAAACATCATAGATGCACCCATTTTATTGCTTTCGCCAGATTTTCAAATCAAATTTCACCCAGGAAAATTTACATCCTGATGTGCACTTACCTGATGCATTCCAGATTGTTGTGTCCTGATGGGTGTAAAAGTTCTAACATATTGGCAATTCTTCTCAGTAATGAAGTGGCACTTCTGAGGCACCCTCAATTCTGAGATGTTAGGTTTGACCAAAAAGACTGTGTCCTCGTCGCAGTCGCACAGATTCACTGATGAATAGGAAATAAAACTAAGAAAAATTATGATGCCTGTCAATCGGATATTGCGCAATCAGCGCACTGTGATCAAAACGCGAACCAGTGCCATATACAATGGGCTAAATCTGTAGATGAATCTCGTTTTTGTCACATGTCCGGTGTAGTTGTTGTGGCTGTCGGAAAAAGTAATAATTGTAATTATTAGAAAATGCAACTACCAAACAAAGGGCTGAGAAACATTGATAACCTTCGTTAGATATACAAAGCGAGTTCACTTACAACACAAAACAGCAATAAATACCAATAAATGAGAGCACTCTGTTGCCTTGAAGAAAAGCCTGAGCGGTACTATGGATCTTCCCAAGCATGGTTATTGATCCATCCGCAAAAGCAATATATGTTCACGTAAGAGAATGTAGTCTAAATTTAAGTTGATCGAAGCACAACTTATGTTTTAAAAACAATCATGTTTACAAAGGTTTATTTCTCCCCGGATGCCGTAAAACTTTTTCTGTGAATACTGCTACCATACAAAAATGATTTCAGCGCAACACAATATTCTTGCAAGCTACAATTTGTGATAGGCCCATGTTATTCAACCTTTTGCAATTGGTTTCATAGGATCATATTCATACGGTAACTGTTCTCCGTTTATCACTACTATACAGGCTATTCTCTATTTAATGTTCTTAATTTCTACTCACTTTTATCCCAATTTATTAGGTCTAATTTAAACCCACCGGAGACAAGTCTGCCAAACGTGGTGTTGATAAACAATGAACGGCCAGACCCCGACTAGGTCGTTTACCCAGCCGGTCAACGTGGCCCCGGCCTACTCACTTCTTCGCGATGTAAACGGGCATCCGAGCAAAGCGGACGTTTCCGTCGGTCGATACACAGCCGTGTCAAAAAGCGTGACAAAGACCAACGGGACAACCAAAGGAGTCTATCCACCAGCTACGGGTCGAGGAGCATTGGGGACTGCGATTGCCAGCACGACAATTGAGGCAAACCGACGATCCCAATCGCAGCAAAATTTGGGTCGAACAGGAACTGTGTGCAACTCAATGCAGGTACGCCATCTGTTTAACTGTCTTGCATCTATTATCCAATGTTTGTTCCACTCCTTCGTCACGTTAAGTAACCATTTCAGAAAGTGATGGCACGTTAAGAGAAACTGACAGTTCGTGCGACCGGTCAGCCTCGATTATTTCTAACCAGCAAGCTGCAGGTGATCTCCAGTAATCTCAGTCTAATTACTGTTTCACATTAATGCATCGATAAGGTTTCCAGTTACATTTATTTCACTGTGTGCTGAGCGGAATGTTTCCGTTTTTGCCAAACGAATGCACGATGAAATTCCCTTATTACGTNNGACGTCTTACGCTTCTATATCCTGAATTATCAAGAACACCATCAAGCTGCGTCGAAAACTCAAAGCCTATCTTCTGTTTTGGTAACTTTATGCATAAAATACACTGACAAACAAGAGCAAAAAATAGACACGACAAGCGGAGCCGAATTCAAAATATTTACATTAAACTGTCACGCTTGACAGTCATTCAGAGGCACCAAATCCCGTCAGCGGGTTCACTCGTAGTGGGATGAAGAACGGCATTATGATGGCTTGATGCCGTTCATTGTGGCTTTATCTTGCCTGATTCAGTTTTCCAATGAGCTCATTGTGTTTCTCCCAACATAGTGTAATTGTTTTAATCGAATCTAAACTTAGTAGCAATATTCATATCACGAGCATGATTCTAACGTGCTCTACGGAATTAAAAACTACTAGCAAAAGACAATGTCTGATAATTTCACTTAGTATAAATACCAAAAACTGATATTCTTAGTTAATGATTACTATAAGCAGTTGGTTACCCCGTTGGAACTAAACAACGTGATAACAGTACCTTCGGGGTTCATTCTTATTCAACATCTGGAGATGGAAAATCGACTTAGTTTACTAACACCGGTAGTACCGCGACTGATTATTCCAATTGAACATTACTGCATTTGAATCGTAGCATTAGGTGTCATGGTGACAGTTGACGTTTAGACAGTGACAATTTTTCGAAAATGCCAAGCAGATTCGTGACCTAGTGTCATATGTAGTACGGACGAAGCCTAGGAGCAATGCCAAAAATACATGGAAAAAATTACCTGCTTTAAAAAAGACGAAATACCAGAATATTCGATTTTAAGGGACACTCTTTCCAAGTCCAGACATCACTGCTGCACAGTTCTGAAGCAGTTGCAGACCGTGTACCAACGAATGAAATTAAGAAGTTTTGATTAGGCGGTCTAAAAGTGAGTGCCGTAGTTTAGACACGGAACAAACATTAGGAAGTTAGCTTCAAATGAATCACCGGTCATAGTTACAAACATTGCTGGACTATCTTAGAACACTCAAGCGGTAAGAAAACTTGAGTTATTTATCTAAAATATGGTAAGAGCTATGATGCTAGGCAAGACTAAACAATGTGTTAACGCGTATGACATTCATGACTATCGTGAAATCACATTTTCCGATAACCCGAGTTTGTACTAAATCATATTTCAAGCTTTGTGCCAGTAAGGAGGAGTATTTCTTCGTTTTTAAATACTTGTAATATCTCTCTCTCTAATATGCGTGCTTGATTCGTTCAAACAAAAAAAATTTGCCACTCGAAATTGACTAATGCGTTGTGCGGCTTTGAGGTACTAAGATGAAAACATGGCTAAAATGTCACTGATGTTGGTTGAGGGTTGCTAGGTCAGGGGGGATAAATTATCCAAGTCTTGGAAGGCTTCCAGCAATTGAGTGCAACCGCCCAGTGACACTTGATAGTGGATTGGTACAATTTGCTTTTATGAATATTTACATATCTTTCAAAGTTACTTGTGAAATATGGGATGATTGATGTTAATTTGAACTGACTACCCTTCAGACCTTACCTTTCCGCACAATCCTCAGTTCTTTCAGTTCGCCTTACACTTAAAAGCACAAGACTCGAGTTTTATTGTCGGTCAAAAATGAACTGACTATCGCTGAAGACGACACCTGAACAAGTATGAATTGGCAATTCGGTTCAGCCCTGGTATGAACTGTTTGGCACAGTGACAACACACACGCCTTTCATGTGTTGGGTCCCCAGTTGAAAGCCCGGATAGAACCTGGATATGCACTCCTGCTGAACTCTTATACAAGTAAAACTCGAGTCTAGTGCCTCCGAGCGTATGGCGGGCTGGAAGCGCTGAAGATTGTGTGTGAAAGTGAAGTCTAAATAATGGTTAGTTTCAATCTATTACTATTGATTGTATTTAGTATGATTCAAATTATTGTGCCAAAGTACTGAATGTGTTTTACTCGATAATTCATTTGACTATGAAAGATAAAAAGAGGCCCTAAACTTGGTGGCCATTACAATTAACCGAATTTGTGGCGGTCGATCTACCATACACAAATATGAATAGGTATTTAACTGCATTTTGAAAGCGGTTTATCATTGACGTCCGAACGTAACATTATTTGATCCGATGGTACTGAAGGAACCTGTATCTGGAACACGATTTCAGGCAAAATCAGAACAATATGCGCCCTTTTTGAGCTACCCAGACCATCTTGATGAATANTGAATACGGCGACAAATAAAAATAAAGTTTATTTATTGAACTATCTTCTTTCCGACGGTGATAAAGTTAATCGCTGATGTGGATCTAGAAAAAGCACAAAAACACCATATTGCATATCCAGAGAGCTGAGCTCATTTCAAGTTGGATTAAGCCCCTTGTTTCTAAACGAATTTGTTTGATGTGACTGTTATTATTATCCAACTCCTATCTTGGCATTCGCTAACTGTTTACAAATGACATAACACTGCGCTGATCGGAGAATACTTTCCCGATCGTCCACAAGGCTGATACTGCTCGTCTTCTTAAAATACTCTAAGTGATTGAAATAAATCAGTGGAAGCCTCTCCTTGCTTATCTACGTTCGTCATTGAACTATCCACTTCGCTTGTTTAAAGTGAGCACCAAAAGGGAAGCAGCTAATTTGCCCAAAAAATCCATTATGCGATGTTAGCCAATAGCTTTCATTCTCCAACTGTAGAGGGTCTCTGGCCCACATCAGATAAAATCAACGTAATAGGGCCCGGGTGATCGATGTAATTGTGAGGTTCTTTATGATTAATGACTGTTAGATTGATTGATACTCTAATGTCTTTTCATGAATACCAGTAACCAACGAAAAGTGGATCATCCGTTTCTCAATAATGATAGGTGATTTTGAAATTGTTACAAAATAGGGAAACTTTGGTAAATGGCTCACCCATACACGGTCTGTGATTCTGAATTACACTTGTGAAGTTTTCTAGGTTCGCATTGAACAATTCAGGATTTCGAAAATACCACTGAAATCAGTAACTAAAATGATGCATTTCGTCCGTTTAGTATTTACCCCGGGATGTGTCGCAAATTACGTCATAAATTTAAGCACCTCGCAACGGGACAGAAAAACCACAGTAGGCATACAGTGTTTCATTCGGAAAATATTTTTGATAGCACAACTCACATGATTGCAATACAACCTTGTACAAAATCTTGATTTCCATGACATGAAAAAAGCACAAATCCCACTAAAGTTGTTCAATACGAAACGAAAGTTTATTACTTCTTTTAGTGAGCTCGGCCATATGAGTATACCAAATCCACTCTAACCCAGATTTATCCACCAAAATCTATAAACGCTGATAAACGTTTTCCATGGGAGTACTAATATCAACCAGGATGTTTGGACGGGAGATGTACGGAATATTGGTATTAGACCTTTATTACGTCTTTCATCTAGGTTTTTGAAAACGTGCGTTAACCTTTAATGAACAACTATTTGACGCATAATGAATTTCCCACAAGTTCGCATCAAATTTTCCCGCATGAATGAGATCATCGAATAGGCCAAGTAACACCATTACATTTTTGAACGGAAAAACTTAATTTCGGTATTATCCAGTGTTTTGTGCCTGTAGCCATTATTATTTGAAGAATAACATGTTGATTGTACTGCTCTATTTTATATTTCTAATCATTTGTTCATTAATTGTCACATTTCATCTATATGTGGATTTATTTCTTGTCCGTCTCCACGCAAGCAGGATGCAAGAACCAGATTTAACTTTTATTATTTGCTACTGGTATCCACTAAACCAATGCAAAAGCGTGGTTCTTTTAATCATTAAACGTTGGTATACAGTTGAAGAGCGAGAATTAGTGTGAAATTTTCTTTTTCATCTCTAATTGGACGTGACAAAATAAAATTATTTGGAAATAAGACAAATAGAAGAAATACGACGTGTATATTCAATTACATTGCATGCTGGGTCTTTTGCCTGCAAAACCTGGTAAAATTGGTGCTCCCCAGCCGATTGGTTTGACGGCTCAACTTGGGGTTGGGACATTAGTATTTTGATTAAGCGTTTGTCGGATTAAATATTCGTTTGTAACGAACGTTGTTGCAGCCTTGAAATATTTACTTTTAGTCCTCTGTTTCCCTCGAGGACTTCAACGTTATCTGTTACATTGCAAACTCCTGGAGACTTTTTGGTATCACGGTTATACGAGATAGATGTGAAAATGACACGGTTTAAATTATGTAAATCCCTGAAGCATATTTGAACATTTCCCTAAGTATAAAATTAAATGGAATGAGTACCACGATTTTTGTCGGAATGTCACGAAAGTCCACCGTAAACTACATTTGTTAGCGGTAAAAGTATTCGGATGGTAAGAGTGTTTCCCTTTTAGTGGCGATTGTGGATAATTACACTGTCTGTCAGTAACCGCTGTCGAGTGACTCACCAATACCTGTCGACAAGAGCTGACGCGTTTCTTAGTCTGACGCTAACACGGTCTTGTCCCTCTGTCTCGTCTATTTCTTAGCCGCAGACGGATATTGAGTGTACTGGGGAGCAAGAACATTTGTTCGCGATGTACGATTCCACCGGTCTGGAAGACACATGTGTAAACTCCTAGTTGCTTAGGTGAATAATTAGTGGATCCTGAAACTAGAAAAACATTTCAAGAAACCAGACAGAAAACCGATTATGGAGAAATTTCGAAATGTTAATGAGTTGGTGACAACACCCTGACGTGGTTGCCCTTGAATCAGCTGATCGTCGCTGTTGGGTATCTATTGGCTATCACAGGGAAATGTTGCCAGCCGTCGTTACCTTTTATTTTGACGACTTCGAAGCAATGTTCAGAAAGGGTTTTGCTATGCTTGAGCTGAAACTGCGCATTTCGAGGCCAAAAATTAGGTGTGGCGATTGGGGAAAGAACATAGGCGGTNATAGGCGGTGAAATGATTGATTATGTCTAAGTGTGTACTGCGATTTGTCACGGAATGGACGGTTTAAATTAGTTACTAAGAAATCTATTAGGTGAAAAGAAAGGTTACTTATAGTCCAAGAATGTATGCGGAAATACAACAAATATATAGAATGCTACGTGAGTGTTTTCAAGGGGAATTCTTCAGGGACAATAAACTGCCAGTGTAATTCATCCTCGTCATTTTGGGCTAGTCGTTGGCATTATATTCAGTTAGTAGTCAGGGTGAATTGGGAAGCAGATTGCCATACATAGTCTCGTTGAAGCCAAGTTTCGCGGATCTGCTTGTAAGCAACATTTTCTTCTCCTACCTTAGGTTCTGTCGAAATTAATGCAACAAGCTTTTTGATGCCACGTTACGTTTTTACATTCAAACGCAACCCCGGATATTATAGTCTTTTATGTATAGTGATTAGAGTATCAATGCAGAACGAAACAAAATTGAAGCAAATCATTCGCCTTATACCCAGCAAATTTCGCAACTTGTACGCCCTTCAGCGGACTAATAAATTGTTGTACGTGTAGATTTACGCTGATCAGTTATTACAGTACATTATTTATTTCAGAAATCACATTATCTCCGGTCACCATCTTCTAGCACATCAGATTTTGTGACCGGTGGGCAATTGTCAACTGGCATTCAATGGGCGTGTTTGAACTCCATCAGACCCAGAGTATTCTGGCTTTCACGGAGGTTTGTTTACTCACGTTTTCCGTGTGGTGATGCACTGGTGGATTTCCGTTATGCTGCGTAGTTGGTTGGGCACAATTTCTCTCCTAGCCCAGTTTCAAGTTAGCTGTCCAGTATGGTGTCCGAACGTGGAGTGCTTTTACCAGTGCTGTGCCCTAACTTGAAGCCAAGTTAATCGTAACCATTGTGCAGATGATTCATCTCCTGATACGATCGATTGGAATTCAGTCGGGTCATCGGTTGCGGAATGGGGTTGTGTTGGGTTCTGTGCTTGCGAGTCCACAACATAAACGAGGTCAATCGTGACTTACGGGCATGTGAACAAACAGACGCAAGATATCAGCGTCGATTCATCGCATCACGCGGTGCAAACGGGAGCACGTTTTATTTCACCTCCGGGCGAATGGTTGTGTGCATGTAACTGTAGGTAGCTTATTCCCCTCAATCTATCCTCATTGTTGATGGGACTTTAAGGGAATGATTTTGATGATTATTTATTGTAAATTTAACCTATCCCCGGAAATAGAGGCAGTTTTAGAACCAAAAGAATTCATGGAAATGGATTTGAATTTGTCTGTGTTAATAGTTGAAATGCAATAAGGCAAAATTGTGATAAGTTGTCGGTATCATCGTTGATGAGACTACTGGGCTAGAACTTCAGTAGGAGGTTTTGTTTATTGTACTTAATTTATAAAGCTGTTTATGATTGATTTTTTCTTTTGGCGGTTCTGCAGAGCAAATAGAGAACTTCGGATCAAACACAGATTCCGAGTTTTGAAATGTAAAATATAGGTTAGTTGAGAATCAAGAAAGTATAATGCATGGTCTTAGAAGCAAAGCAGAGCACTGACTGATGTGAAGACCAAAGCGAATATTGAACCGGAAGAAGAAGATAACGACTATCAAAACATTGAAGGAGAAAATTGCTACAATATTTATAAAGAATTATCTGCCATGAGTTTGGACTCTCTGGACACCAACTAATACAAAACAATTCAATTAGAATCGTATAAGTAGAGAGTTGTGTGTACAATTTGATATTGTATTATAACTGCGTAGATAAGTAATCACCGGTAATCGGTCATTATTTTGCAATTCGCTAACTGGGAACTAGGGTAGGTCACAATGATTCCAACCGTATCCAAGGACTTATTGTCCAACCCGTTTTCACGGTCTACCCAAAATACACAAGCCAAACATTCCTATTCGCCCGATTACTGACTATACCAGTAAACCTAATTACAAGCTAGCGAAACTTCTTGCACCGACTTCACGACCTTTCTTGAAGCATGATGAGCATGTTATCAAGAATTCATTTCATTTATTAGAGTAACTCATAACACTAACTGTTGAACGTGAAGAATGCATGGTGAGATACGATGTGGTATCCTTGTTCAAACAAATGTCTAACAATGGACGTCTGGATATAGTAAGAAATCATCTTAACAGTGATCACACATTTAGTGATCGAACGAGCTTGACAGCTGACGAACTAATGAAAGCAACTGAACTATGTCTGAAGTCAACGTTATTTGTATATAACCGTTCACTCTCCAAACAACCTGGCGGTGTTACCATGAGATCACCCATTTCACCGACAATTGCAAACTTGTTTATGGAAGANACAGCTACTGAATTCAACAACCCTGGTACCAAGAGCCTGGTGGCGCTATATGGACGATACCTTCGTCATAAAGAAAGCACATGAGGAACCATTTATTTAGTTCCTAAATGACTTCCACAATCCAAACAATTTCACGTTGGAAACGACTTACAACACCCTAAATTTGTTTGATTACAGTGTGAAAGTCCTGGGCTCGGGTAAAGTATCGGTGACGATAGCCGAGAGAGACAATTACGGGACGATACTTCAACCACCATTCTAACCACTCGACCAACATCAAGATGTCAGTTGGCCTTAGCCTAACTACTAGAGCTCGGAAACTGGTAACCAATAGAAAGGATGAACAGCAAGAGATGAACCAGATTACTAAAGAATTAAGGGATAACGTATATCCGAACGAATATCCATCTGATAATGGGAATTAGTATGACAAATAACGAATCATTCAACCCACCACACAAATTCACACGTACACACACACGATAAAATATCCGTTGACATATGATCCTTTCCTTGAGTCATTTGATTGTAAAACCTGCCTTGAGAAAGGTTACCCACGGTAGCCGAAACGTCGGCAAATACGCTTCTCTGCCGACATCAGTGTGTTATTAACATTATAACATTCCCAATATCCGAAGAATTTCATCGAAAAAATCAAACTTTCGAATATAAACTCCCTAAAGTCAACTACGCCGAAAAACGACTGATTGTCAATTGTTGTGATTCCATAGCATCAAAACACGTCCGAAGACATATAATGGATACTAAACCATGTCAATGTGAGGGTTGCGTTCAAAATCACTAAAACAATTTTCTGAAAGTGGGTAGCCTCAAAGGCAGACGTGTAAAAGGGGACACTTCTGAAGTAGCCTATAGAATACGTCCTCTGAGCTGTCCTGTAACGTATGTCGGCCAGACCTCCAGAAGAATGGACCAACGAATGATTAAGCATATGCGTCTAACGAAGAAGATTACAAATGATGCAGCAGGTTGAAATCGAGTAGAATACAATTCCGCAGTTGCTAGCCATGCAATGTGTAAAGGACCTGCGGTTGATTTCAAAAGCCCGCATATTCTAAATCGTGGGTTCAGAAGTCACAAGGAATGTTTGTTTGCCGAACTGCTCATGATAAAAGCTGAACCTATGGCAATCAATCGATTCGATGAGTCAGTCATTTCACAGTTATGGCAACAATTGACACTTGTGCAAATGTAATAGTGTCGTCCTTCCCCCAACACCAAATGACCAATTCACACGTTTTGACCTAAAGGTCAAACCAATTTCAGTCGTCCCAACCACCCGTCGACCGATCACTAACACACACATCCACAAACACACGTGCATGCAAGAATCACAGCAGAGATCTGCACTAAATCGTCATCCCATAGCCTTATAATTATGTGAGATTTACCTAATCGGTTAATCGGTTAAACGACTTGAGAAAGGCCTTCCAAGAGGATCAAAGTTTTGTTACCAGTGCCTTGTGCTTTGATTTACGTTCTTCGTGGCTAAGATAAGCTAATTTCCTCAATAATCATGAGCACGACGCCCAGGTTTTTCAGTGAGACCCGTTCCATCCATGGATCTCGTGTGATTAAGACAGGACGCTTTTTGCAAATTTTAAATTTAAGGAAGCAGATACCAAAAAGAAGTATCCGCACAGAAGATTCTGTCGCAGTATCTGCACACACATAATTTTTGAACATGTAATTTTACAAATTTTCTTTTCAGCCGTACTATCCCGTATGCCGTTTTAACAAGTGACAAGATATATAACGAGTAGCAATTCTCAGAAGCAATGACGTGGCAGTGAATCAGCATGCACCAGACTCCTTTGCACCGAAAATCTGTTGGCTGAATGTTAAAAACATAAAAGATCCGGAACAAAAAGTTACTGTTACTGACTTTCGTGGTTGAATATCATCCCATTCACACGACACCAGGAGACATCTGAATCAACGAGATTGTGGGACTGTGGGGAGGGGTGTAGAGTGGTGAACGAGAGGCCAAATCATCATCGTGTCCTAGTTGACGTTCGAAGATCGCAATGAATCACCCAATCACATGTAACACCGTGGGAGGTAGTAATAGTTTTGATGTCTGCCTTCAGGAACTCAGTGCCACACGAATTTGAGCTAATGTTGGAAATAACAATAAAAATAGCTAAGGGAATTATGCGTAATATGATGCAAACTTACGAAGACGCAAGTTTCAACAAAGCTTGTTTTGAAAGAGAACGTAACGCGGAATTTCCCCACAAAACAAAGGTGATACATTTAGATTGGAACATTCTTCTAAGTTCAATATTTTCTCTTATTTTCTTTTCACAT